ATAATGTATCAAAATAGAAAAGCAGACTACAAATTAAGTATAACTTTTTCTAGCAAGAGCGTTCATGGGATCATACACAAAGGAGTGAAAGTGTCATAACTGACAATTAGAAACCTTTTATAAAATTTTCCCAATTTTGTGATGTCTTAAATGTGTTGTATTCTTTTTTAAACCTATGCCGTTTTCTAATCGATAAGGTAGTTTTAATGTAAATCTGATCTGCTGCATTTGTACTTGCTAGTTACTCACTAGCGGTTAAGTTCTCCGCCATTTATGGCGTATACCTTTGATAAGGTTAAACAATAAGTACAAATGATAACTATCATGAAATTAGATTTCCTTTATCAGTATATAATTATACTTAATAAAACTGTTGTACACTTACATCCTTTGCTTACACTCGTAGAAGATATATGGTTTATGTAAGTTGTGTATGTAGCAATACACTTAAAGGTTAATTACAGTATTTACTATATAGAATTTTTGTGCAGACTTTCCAAGAAATTTTTAGTAAGATTTTAATTCTTGCCGAGTTTTAATAAGTAAATTGATTTATCATAACTAAAACTGTAATATTAATAGTATAACATCAATTTTACGTAGCTCTTCTCTACTGTTTCATGAATGCACAAAGAAACAATTATAACCTAAACAGCAATGACCTAAAACTATAGGATGAAATTAATAATGTTTGATAGTAATTTTCTATTAAGGGAATTAAGATTTTATATTGGATCCATTTCTAGATCCTTTGCATAACGTTGCGCATCGCCATTGCTCAAGGTTTGTTAAAATGTTGATCTATAGATGATATAAATAATTTATATCTTGGATTGAATGTAGAAAAACTGATCTGCTGCCTAGAATCATGGTTATTTTAATCATTTAGTAGTTTATTTATTTACTTGAAAGTAACGAGTTCGTGAGTAATCGGTAATAGATTGGTAAATTAATCAAAGATAAGAAAGGCTTTAACAAAATTACTTTATAAAGGTAGTCAAACATTAATAATTAATAGGAATAATTTTCTCGGGTAAAGCTAATTAACTAGAAAAGATATCTATTAATTTTTACGTTTCATCATAATTTTTAGCTGTGACAATACTAATGTTTGGTAGTAACCAGCGTTTTAGTATTGAATAAGTTTAAATAGAGGAACATAATTAAACATCTTAAGGTGTTTTATGGTTTCATGTCGTCACGTTTAAAATTATTCTGCGATATGGATGATATTTAAATTTACAAGCAAGTTTGAATTAGTGAAGATGAAATCTAAGATCATATTTATGACAGCTTTGATATGATCGTAGTTTTAAAAATTTGAAATAACAAAAAAGTACAGTGTAAAGGGTATAAATAATCTTAATATATCTGTTTCATTTAAATATCTAATTATATAGGATATTGATATATTTGCGTCTATCTCAGCTTTACATGCAAAACTGAGCTGTAATCATATCGCATGTCTGCAAAAGGAAGTTGATAATTTCGAAACTAATGTATAACGTAGCTATACCCATATTTGATATTGTAAAATTTAAATCGACAATACGGAGTTCAATGTTGAAAAGAGAAAGTTACCAGTACTACAAGTTTATACTTTCCGATTACTTTGCCAGGATCTTTAATATATCACATATCTAAATAGAGGAGTGTATGAAATAATCTATATTTTAGCTAAATGTTAATTCTTAATCAAATAGAGGAATGTGCTGATGGATGGACGGAAATTAGTAATCGATGCTTTAAATCCTTTACGAACGTTGAATCATTCGAAGATGCTCGAATCGCTTGCCAGGCATTTCCTTGTGGCGATTTAGCAGCCGATAATACCTCTACAATTCATGATAACTTAAAGGGAATACTACAGCATAATATTCTTTACTGGATTGGATTAAAAGATATAGTAGGCAATAATCAAATTGATGATTATCGCTGGTTGTCAAATGGTAAGAGTGTTACCAGTGGCCCAGATTATTGGGCAAACAGTTATCCAAAGCACGAGAATAAAAGATGCGTTCATGCTAGAAGTTTACCATCAAATAAGTTTCAATGGCGTAATAGTGACTGCAGCGATACTTATAGATACATCTGTCAAAGGCCTATTAGCATAGTGTGTTCTTCTTCCTCAGCAACTCTTAGTACAACCTCAGTAGTCTCTGATACTTCCTCAGGCGAAATAAGTCCTTCAGTAGTAATATCAACTTCATCTAAAGACGGCATCATTTCAACGGCAACAACCACCACGATCAATGAGATGGGTGCGTCAAACGCGATCATCAACTCAACTACACATGAGAATTTATTTATATCATCCTCTTTATTATCTGGTTTAGGCAATAGCATGATAGCCAACACGACGAGTGATTCACAGTTGTTAACATCTAGTAGTAATTTAGATTTTGTCTTTAGCTCAACGCAGTCTGAGGGTCTATTAGAATCGTCTACCATCATTATGCATAATGATCTGAACCTGGTTAGTACCAGTTTTGATATTGCCACGATACTAACAACGAGCACTTCACAGATGTTTGCGTCTACTATTTTGAATTTTAACTCTCATTCAATCACATACCAGGATTTATCATCATCGCTCATTACATCTTCAACTTTAGCTATTGATAATACTGCTAATATTATCTCAACAAAAAGTACAGTCATAGGCAGTGAAAAGTATTCCAATATATATGATCAATCTATATCGTCTAGTCCATGGACGCTTGGTAATTCTCCTATTTTAGTAATGAGCACGTTAAGCCAAATGGAATTGATGACATCAACTCCTAACAAATCGCATATTAGCGCAAGTATCATTGAAAATCCATCAACTATAATAGTAACAGGTAGAATTAACCGTACACTTATTTTTTCTAGATTTGGTTTCGAGTTGCGTTCATGATTTATGATCAAATTCCTTTTTATCAGATCCTATCTCCATTGCTAATGCAAGTGTATCGGATACAGAAAAAGCTGCAAATCATCATCTGCAGTCATCGTCAAATTTAATAATGTATTCCATCTCAAGTGTTATTTCAGTAACTACTACAACTAATGATGAAAAATTGATGTTTACTTTTAGCAGCCTCAATGATGAATTATCATTTAGGTCTACCAGTTCTAGTTTTAATCTTACTTTAAGTAGGCAAGAAAATGTATCAGTGTCGTCACTAATTAGTCCCATCTATCCTGATTTTAGTCTTACTATAAGTAGACAAGGAAACCCATCAACACTATCATTAAGCGATCGCACCAGTTCGGACTTTAGTCTTGTTTCAAGTACGCAAAAAAGTCCATTAACGTCATTATTAAGCAGTTCTACCATCTCTAGCTTTAGCCCTACTTTAAACAGGCAAGAAAATCCATCAACGTCATCATTAAGTAATCAAAATAGCTCCGGCTTTAGTCTTACTAAAAGTAAGCATGAAAATCCAGTAACATCGTCATTAAGCGGTCCTACTAGCTCTGGCGTTAGCCCTACTTTAAGTAGGCAAGAAAATCCAACAACACCATCATTAAGCAGTTATATCAGCTCTGGCTTTAGTCTTGCTTTAAGTAGGCAAGAAAATCCATCAACATCATCATTAAAAGGTCATACCAGCTCTTGTTTTAGTTTTACTTCAAGTAGGCAAGAAAATCCATCAATATTGCCTGTAAGCGGTATGTGTGATTTTCTATTTAATTTCTGTATCACATTTAATACGAATGCACTTTAAATGATATATTATCATGAACGAATTTTACTACGCTTTATATAAGTACTATGAAAGATTACTTATTGCAGTAGCTTTAACAGTACGAGTGAGACTTTTATATTATGTTATTTTGCAACAGTAGCTAATTTATACTTCTTCATTTGTCTAGTGTACAGGAAAACTAGTGATGCTTACGGATATTTTTCCAGCCATGTATCTGTAGACTTGCTCAATCATTCAGGTAGTCTTTCGTCGCCAGCAATGCTGCCATCTGGATATTCTAGCGAGTTCCCTGCAGGTATCATTAGACATGATTAACACTTACTGTCTTTTAACGATATACCTATGTACCCATTCTATCATTTGGCCACCTTTCAAATACAGTGATACAGCCATTAGAATATTCTAGCGACTATCCTGTACTTATAATGTAAATATCCTATAACTAATGACAAAAAGATCCATTGTTCTGTAGAATAACAACTATTTTTTTAAAGCTTATTTAATGGATTCATTGATTTTTTGTCACGAAACATAAACTAATATATTACATATTCATATGTACGATATGTAATATTCTAACAAGATAATGTACAAATTTTGTATTAGGCTGATCTAAATCATGATTATCAATTTCTTAAGGATTTCGCCGCCCGGCTATTCTCATTTATATTGTAAATATCGTCTTTACATTAGTTACTGCAAGCACTGTATTCAATCCGTCTCCTTCATTGGATAATGGAAACTCTGTTGCATCTGGTTTCATGACAAATAATACGGTAAATAGTAGGGAAAGCGTACAAATATTTTACCTTCAATTTTAAAAGTAATATGATGTTTCTTAGATAGGATTCTTATTTTATTGTTTATTAGAGTTAATAATTAACTCTTGTACTAAATTAATAACTCTTAATTATTTAAAATTTATTAATAATGCATTTATGATTAAATTTAGACATGTTGATTAATACTGTACTAGTAAGGACCTAAGGTTTATTTCTCTTGTAATGATGCAACAATTGTATCCATAACAACAAATTCGTTAGTATAAGCTATTAATGAATTCTCGATCTTATAACATAAATTAAAATATCAGATCTTTACTTATAGTTAAAGGAGATACAAGTAGCCAACGATCAGTTTATTGCAAATATTACAAAAGGTGTTGATAAGGTTAGTCAAGCATTAATATCTTTTAGGATTTTAAGAGGGAAAAATTTCATGCTTTGAAACTATGCTGTGTGACATATTATCCCCTAAATTAATTGCCTTAGACTTGAGATGATATAATGATATATTACATGTTTTGATGTTCATTGCTAAAAATTACGGAAATCAGATGCCTGATCGAGATTAATTATTTGCTACATTAAAGCGTCTTGGTTCTGTTCTCAAGCAAATCGATCACTATGATGCTGTTTTAGCAAAACAAATTAATCAAGCCAATATTACTACACGACTAACTTTATCGACACCAAATTCAGGTATTTATTTCATTTACTATGAAAAACGTAAAATCTATCATTTTAGCGTGTTACTATTTCGAATTTCTGTCATCCTATTTCCTTAAATTATTCGTAACGATTTTTTTCTCTTTAGTTAGTCTTTATTATGCTCATTAAAATATCTATTGAAAACACTACTTATTGTATAATATACAAATCAGCATGTCGCTATAATTTTTGACTGAATCGAAATTGTTTAATTATTAACCTGATGTTGATGATTATACTAAGTTACTGGAAATGTACGAAGTTGAGCTTAATTTTTGTAAATTTTCGTTAGGCTATTCAGCGATATGCTCCACCCACTATCACTTAGAACTGCACTTAGAATAAGGCTACTCTACCTCAATTATCCTCTAAGATCGAAAGGGGAACTGTAGTCTTAATACCAGAGTACAGCTTTACTTAAATACTACGCAATAGTTATGATTACTCGTACTTATAGGAGAGCAACGGGAATAATTTTACATTTATTAGACACTTCGATCAGGTAAGGTAGGAAAAGGGAATAAAAATTGCAATTATGAGCCGGCTTTTATAGCTTTGGCTCAGGTCGGTGATGGTAATAAAAAGCTTTACTCACTATTAACTATTCAAAAGGTTTGCTATGATACTTCAGTCTATACGGTTTAGTGTCAAACAGAGCTCCTATAAATAATATCCTAATAAAACATCCTATTTCATCAATTTAATACAGTGTACGCTTTCATTTCTATTGAACAAAACTATGTCTCCACTTACTTGTTAGCAATATAGATAATTAAGTGTTTGTTGCTTGCACTACTTGTGGGACTTTGCTATAGTTATATTTTGAATCTACTCTTTCATAATAATTTACCGAAAGAGAAACTATATTAACTCATCTGTTGCTGACTTTATATCCTGTCTTGTATCCTAATGCTATTTGCATCGCATATTATATACTAGAATTAATTGCTTATACAATCTCCGTATCGGATACGACTCCAATCATCAATCTAGTGTTATCACTATCTAATGAGTCCGAAGCAGAAGTAAGAATTCCGAGATCAATATTTCTGTTTTCTAGCCAAGGTATCGAATATCTCCGGTCATATTATGTATTCGAAATTACATATTCCCGTATCTTCTTCAAATAAGATGAAAAGCAATGTCATAAGTTAATTGCCTTTTTCTGTATAATATACTAGTCAGTTACACAGTTTAATTTTAATTTATGCGAAAAATTGTAAATCTGCAAGCAAACAAATCACATCTATTCAATTTAATACCGTACAATATTTGATATCCTTCTATTTGTTCGTAACTTTAACATATTATAGCTGATACTGTTACTGTGGTAGTAAGATCGTATCGTGCTGAAGAGAGTTGGACCAAAAATAACACTGACGAAACTAGTAGCAGGTATCTCTAGATTTATTATATTTTGTGCATATATTATGCTCTGTAGCATAATCGTACATAATGCTAGCGATTACCCTTAAATTTCTTTTCTTTAACTTCGCTAGTAGTGTTCAATATGTTTCATGTTAAGCAATATTTCAAATATTTCGTCTAGTATTATTTCCAATATCTTGTCTTGCTCAATGTATCCACTCCAAGATAAAAATTTTACTTTACCCGTTCATTTTTATCTTAAAATAAGATATCGAAAGGTCAGTTAAATTGATTATTACCGATTTATTAATCCTTTTAAACATTGATTAAATCTAACTAAGTACTGTAACGTCCTTTTTACTATTAGCTTCATCCACCCTATCGATGTGTATATTGGGAGAATACGTAAGATAATTTGTCTATCTAACTTCGATGTTATGCTAGTAATAACCAAGCGTATTTCGTGACTAACATCAATCTAACTTACCTGTTTATTAAAATAGATAACGTAACATTTACGCTTCGTTTAGTTGAGATTAAAATAAGGAATTCTTAATATTAAGATCATGATTCATCATGTTAATATTTATACTACTCAAACTTTATTAAATCGCAAACATGTTTGCAGACAATGGTCGCAGTATGGAACAGATTTGATAGGTTATAATTCTAGCACTGTACATTGCACAACCATTCATTTTACAAGTTTCGCCGTCCTTATGCAAGGCTCCAAGGTAAACCAGAAATATTTATTGATGCTGTAATACAATCATATTCGTAAAATACAAATAGTTTAAGGATAATGTAGATATACATCAATATATAAAGTTATTTGCCTTTTGCATGCAGTAAATCTTTACGGCAGATTATTAATTTTCCTTGAAGTGGAGTTTCGGTAACCTTTCGTATCCTTGTTACGAGTACACTGCATTTTCATGAAAAATTCTTGAGAGCTAAATAAATTTTTTTAAATTTAATCTTTTTCGTTACATTTATTCTTCGAACAATGCACTTGATTTAGAAGACACAATGACAGTCACAACATATCACAATATTACGTGACTGATTTTAATGTACTACGACATCATTGATCGTGTTTTGATTGTAGGCATTAACTGGACCTCATGATACCTACCTTCGCTACATCACTTATATTGGCTACTCTATTTCACTATTCGCCCTACTGATGATGATAATAATATTGATTAGCAGCAGGTCCGTAACGAGTATGATAGTTAATTTTTATGTAATAAACTTTTGTAGTAAAAGGTTTGATATTGATATGAGCTATAACAGAAACTATCTATTCAAGATTATCTTTTGTTAGTCTAGAATATCTTGTTACTGATTTTCTAAAGATGTTGGAGAGGTTAGGGGCTCCTATTTGGAATCTCTTGTCAGTCTAAAGAATAAAAGCGATGAATAGCTGAAGTTACTGAACTTCTGATTCTTAATTCTTATAGATAAGGCCCTCTAAGCAAATATATTATAGTTACTAGTTTGAGACAAAGCATAATCCGCAAATACAGCGTTTTATAGTCTACTAAAGATAATCATGATTGATACTCACATTCCAAGAATTTACAGGTTGAGAATTTATAATTCTTATTACTCTAGAAGTTCATCCTATATGAAGCACCTAAAAATATAACACGATCGTTCGATTTGTAACGGCGAAAAAATTAAATTATTGCAGAAAACTGAACACTGCAAGTCTTCTGTCAGGTTGTCCTCCCCGACATCTACCTACAGTACGGTTATAAATACTGACGATAGGAGATCGTCACGAGAAACAGTAATACGACTAGTCTTCCTAGGATAAAACTGACCCAAACTTTCTTGAAAAATCAGTCAATTTATAGTAAATCTGCATAAATATTAATTATTACTACTTAAATATTATAAAACTATGTATTTATCTATAAAAGAATGCATTAAGTCGTAGATGTCCAGTAAATATTCTCGACATATACAAAAGTGTGTTACTTGACGAAAGTAAGAGGAACTGTAGTGAGCAAAAGTCATTTAGTGACAACGGTCGTGAAACAATAGTAAGCAAAAATCCATTATTGGATAGAATTGTTGTGTTAGTCACTTTATAGTTTATCATAGTAATTGACGACTGCATTAAAGTAAATAAAATGAAAGCGATGGTACAGTTAGAAAAGAATTACAATTTTTACGGTACGGTAATTATATCAATTTATCTATAAATTTTTAATCAGAACAGTTCTCTTAAAATTCATTCTAGGAAATTACATGCAGTAAAGAACTTTATTCATCTAAATTTGGCTATTGCTATGGTGATATGTATTAGTGGATTCTTAGCTGGTATGAATGCAGCTAGCCTGCCGGTAATTGCTCATTAATAGAAAGATGATAGATAAAATAATGCCTTGTATAAAATTACAAGATATTCGAATACCGGTGATAAAATTTATGATATTTTGAATGTACGGCATTTGTCTGTTCTCTAAGTACGTATTATTGATACTTAAAAACTAAGCATACGAGAGATTGATCATGATAACTTTAAGATATCTTAATGATAAAATATACGTATACGTGATAACCGTTATTGTTATTTCTAGATATATTAAAAGTATACGATGACAATTGTTATAAGAGCGTCAACTGCATTTTTCAAAATTGGCTATAATGAAATAATTGTGACTTTCTTTAACTGTAGCTTATTTGCACCATCATTGCGATTACGTTACATTTCTTCTACTTGGCTAGTTTAATGTGGATGATGATGGAAGCCATACTACTTTTGCACAAAATTTCTTCCGTACGCAAAAATATGGATCCGAACCTTCGATGGGTTTACTTTATTTTCGGCTGGGGTGCGTATAAAAGATATATCCGTAAATCGCAGTAGCTGTAATATTATTTTAAAATTGAATATTTACTGTTAGTACAGTAAATTGATTATCGATAATCGTTGTTAATCTATTTAATTTAAGAAAGTGTAAGAAGTAATTTCGTTTAACATTTGTATCATAGGTCATTTATTAATACAAATGTTGTGACAATTGAAATATTTTTTATTTATTTTTATAAATGGCTCTTAGCGCCTCCAGCTATTGTAGTATCTGTGTCCGCATCTACTGGGATTGATGCCTATCGTAATCGAGATTAGTAAGTTTTTAGCATGAATAAACGATGATCGTGTACTCATATATCTGTTAACATGTAATTAATTGAACATCGCTTTTGACAGTTGCTGGATTCGAAATGCTACTACTCAAATGTGGTTCTTTGTAGGTCCAATTATTTTTATAGTTGCGGTGAGATAATGAAGACAGTTATATTTCATATAAGGCTTGAAATATCAGTAAAATGTATCTTAACAACTAGATAACCAATATTTAATATTTACTTCGTATAGTATTTGTAAAATTATAGTATTATCAATCTGTCTTTGATCTACAATTAATTAATTAGTTTTAGCTATATAGTTTGTGACATAGTCTAGGCTAACATTGGCTAATGAAAAGATTGACTACCCTCGTATTTATTAGATATAATCAGTGCCGGTATTACTAATATTCTAACCCATAGGCGAAATTTAAATAATTATTTTCTTCACCGGATGTTCTAGTGGAACGTGGTGGTAGTAGTCACCGCTATTAGGTCACTTTTCTCTATTAAGGCTGTGGTCCGAAAGTCCGAAATTCAAAAATTCAAGTATGGTAAAAAATTCGTCCCTTCTGAATTTAATTGCTAAGATGCTAATATAATGATATATATTATAACTGTAAAAATATGTATAAAATGTCTCAGATATAAAAGTTAAAAAACTTGACTTTGTTATTAATAAAACCTGCAAGTATTTCCAGATAGATGAATAGCAACAAGTAATATGATAGCCTAATCAAGGTACTTTTTACCGATTTCATGTAGAGTCGGAATAAAAGCTGTAACTTCCTTGGTCTTTCTCTTTGGTATATCATGGATATTTGGTATCTTGTATTATGCTACGAACCATATTGTCTTGGCTTACTTGTTTACAATATTAAACTGTCCACAGGTTTGCTTTTAGCCTGCATAGCACTAATAGTCTTATTTTTTTGTTAGCCTTCTCTCCGCCACATATATTGGTTCTGTTTATTTAACACTATTAATGATTTTGTTATTTTCCTTGGTGTAAAGGGATTGTTGATCTTTTACTTTCACTGCTTTCAAGATCGCGAGGTAAGTTATTGATCATGTGTTTTTAATCTCTTTTATGCAAACGTAAATTATAATTATAATAGCATGGTAAAGTGAAAGATCGGCGATCATCAATGCAAAGCTTTTAAAGTTACTTTCTAAATGCCGACAACATACTAAGAGCAGTTATACATGCCATAATATTAAAATAGCAGTAAATGATGAGAATTGATAGTAGCTATGTTGCTTTATATCATGACCTATTCGATTACTATTAGATGCAAGATTACATGCGGAAGAAGTTCAAACTTGGTTCCATGATTTTTCCAACGCGCTCTACTGGCGATTGTAGCAGAGATATTCGAGTACGACTTGTTACTAATTTTTAATGTCTTAAGATAAGCCGGTTCTGTACTACTATATAACTTAGTTTCGGGATGAAATTAGACTGCTTATATCCTTAGCTAGTGAATACGGCACTAAATTAGAATGAGTAAAATCTATTTATCTTTCATTTATCGGACTCTAACATGCGTATTTATCTAACTACAATGTTTCAACTTAGCTCGAAAATACACGTTCCAGTCGTACTGCTAAAATATCAGTGCGTCCAATTTCTCAAGATAATGCATGTTATGAATGTAGGGATATTGGAAGATGTTCATTCAGTCATAATAAGACTGCAGGTATCAGATTCAAATACATTCATTCATTTAGAAATGACCATCATCGGTTTAAAATGATCATATTTTTAAGACTATAGCAAATATTAGCTTATCCATACTACTGATAACTAGTTAAGAAATATTTATTAGTTCCTTAATTTGCAAGTATTTATTTCAAATAATTATCTAAAATTAATCTTCTGGTTCTTAATGTTGAATTGATAGCTATAAGAAAGGATTCATCAAACAGGTGAGTAATACTACTACAGACGTATTTTTTGCATTGTATATTTCACTTAAATGAAGATACAGAAGCCTGTTCATATATATTTTAGTTTAGACATTATTGATTGTGACGATATTGATTTGTCTCACAGATTAAGATATATAATTAATCTCTCGAATTATGATTTAACTTTTTCGATCTAGTGTTACTACCTTGCTCTCTACGTTCGATAATCCTGACGTGTCAGCGAACAATATGACAGATGTCGTTACTCATCTTTAATTTAATCAGAGATAAAGGAACGACATTTGAAGCGTAATTTGGATTTCTACTTATGAATATTACGTATATCACATTGTAATGTAATTTAGTATTGTGATTGTAGACTGTTAGCCATGTTTAGTATAATGAACTGTAGCGTAACTTCTATTTTTATCCTAAGAGATATTTGGTAGCCATAACTATAGACTGTAGTGGTATAGACTCTATGCTAAAGTACAGATGACTATATACAGTACAGTAAGGTGTTGAGTTACTAATAAGGTTATAGGTAAAAATAGAACTGCAAATCGTATATTAGGATATGGTTAATTCATTGTACTTTGGCTGGTGTGAATAATGTCTACGTAAATACTGTAGTCGTATCCATTTCGGATTAATGATGGTCCGCAGTAGAATAGTGTTACTAAGAATAATTTAACTATATGTAAAATAAGGTAAAAGGTTGCCATGCGGATTGTAGCTGCGAATGCTACGAAAAGTATAAAGGCATGCAACTTTAGATTATTCAGTTAGTTCGTTGTAGAAGTCTTTAGTAGTAGTATTCGGCTAGAGTAGAGCTATGTGTAGTTAGTCTTTGTATAAGATTCAGTAAAGCCCTTATTTTTCTAAAAGTTGGAATTTCGTGATCGGTATATATCACACACATTAATACATAATTATTCTCCATATGCATATAATACGAAATTGTACAATAATAATTAATCTTCGATGGAGTCCAAAGATGTCTTTTAATTTAGATGCTCGCGGCGCATTGTCAGTAATTATATTTAATTATTCTCTCTAAATATATACAACGAAATTGTGCAATGGTAATTATTCATGTATTAGTGCGAAAGTGGTAATAATAAAGGATGTTCCTATACAAATGAAAACAAAGAATAGATCCAGCAATAGGGAAATCAAAAAATTTTTACGTACATCGTCTTCATAAACAACAGGGAAAAATGAGCCTAGGTAACCTATGTTGAAGTTTAAATCGTGAATATATTATAAAATCAGTTCATATTAATCAGAGTAATTAATAATTCATTAGATATTTATAAAATACAACCTTGTGTTCAATATTAGTTAACAAGTTCGTTGATAATTCCAAGTCAAAAGTTAATAGAAAAATCAATTTAAATTTGTTTGTGACTATTTATGGTTCCATCACTGATAACACTTAATTAAGCTAATGAGCAATATCGTAATGAATTGCTTATGATAAGAATTAGTTGATATCAGAATTTTAGGACGGTGTAAGAAATAAATTTTATTCGGCGATCTCTCTATATCGATATCGTTGATGTATCCATTTTTAATGGCAAAATAAGTGAATGATAGCATTGTTTCGGCATTTCAAATTTAACTTTCTTATTAATTCTGCGGTCAATGTCCATATCGTAGCTATTAAGCATAATGTTTCGGACAATATCATACCAACTCATAAATACGCACAGAAATTATCGTAGACGTTGTAATGACCGATTAATAGTCTTTTACTATTACTATATAGCATAGCTTAACATCATTGAAATCATTACAGACATATAAACTTAAAATGATAACAGAAAGATCGTCTCTCGAGTTATACAGCCGTTGCTTTCCAACTTTGCTTACTCAAAAGTTATTGCTGCTGTATTTATTACATGCTTTTCATCTGATATTTGTTAATAGTTATGCCACGATTAAAACTGCAAAGTGCTGTTTATGTTAGTCAAATAAAATCTGATTTTAAAGTTATCTGCTTGAATGCTATTATTTAGCTGTTAGATAATGGTGCACTTTATACCTGAAGCATCACAGATTGAGGTTTTAGTACATAGTTAACCATCTTTCAATATGATTCGTAATTTGAGCCAAATTTGCTATCAGCCGAGAATAGTAGCGGTATACAAAATAATAATCTAGAGGTAAAGGGATAAATTTTATATCTTCAGAATGCCTTTAAAAATAGTCATAAATGTATAAATTCACTTCAAGGTATTAATAATAAATCCAAACCGATTTAATGTGCAGCACATCAGGAAAATAGGACACAATTTATAACCGCTACTTATCGTTTGAGGTCCGAAATTTGCTTGTAGTAAGAGAGGCAATTACAATTTTATATCATCATAGCTTATATGATATCGTAATAATTGAATATAGGTTCTTAATAAAGAGCACAGGAATACGTATGGATGATTAATAAGGCTGAATGTGATGCTATTACGGCACTGCGTAATCAATTAAAGTCATTATTGATTAGCAAATAATGAATACCTTAAAATAGTCTAGATAAGGTCATATGTTATGTTGTTAAATTTTATTGGGGTTGTGGTCAATACTTTGGTTGTGGAATTGTGATATAAAATACAAGCTATTGTGTATCTATTTACTGTAAATTAAAAGTCTTGCTGGACTCCAGGATTAAAGAATATATAGACGGAGAATGAGGGTTTCAATACTCTAATTTCCGGAATATCTGCATACTCGTATCTATTTAGTAATTGCATATATGTAACTTGTAAAATATGTACCTTTTTCACGCTAGTTAAAATATTGAAATTCATTGTAGAAAACTGTTTCAGTGTTTGTGGTTGTAAAGTAAAGTAGTAATTACTTATGAAGCGTACGTGAGTCGTAACGTGAGAAAATTACAATAATTAATCAGTTATCTGTGGAGTACAGCCGAGAAATTAAGTTCTCATATATCGCTAGCGTAGAGGCTCAAAATATGCATACTAGGGAAGTAGCCCGAGTTATCGTACCTACGCTAAAGTTTTTCTGCAAATCTTTATCACAAAAGAGGATTGTAACAGATGCCTTTAGTTAGAAGAAATAATAAATTATTGGCCATAGGTTATCTAGTAAAAATATCTATTATATTCGTCATATTAAAAAAGAAAATTAAAAAATAATTTTGTTATTGTTGTAACGTAGGTGATAATTTTTAATCCATTTTAGGGCTAGTGCTTAGCGGTGTAATCTATTCTATTTGTGATAGCTTTTTTCGGCTGTTATACAGATATGATGCTGGATATGTTATAATAAATCCTATTTCTCGTTGCGGTTTTTATTATCTATTCTGGAATTCTTGATATGTATGGAAAGGTATGGGTTTGGTCAATTCAAATACTTTACTATAAAACAAGTAATCATTAATGATATAATAGTGCAGTCAATGATAGTATCAGAGAATAAATACTGTAAGCAGAATAAAATTGGCGCCATTTTAATAACTGAAACATTTGTTATTACTAGTAGCTGTGAACAAATGATACTATTTTGATACGAGTTTATAGTTAATATCCTCGCTCCATTTATTTGTATTGCAACTCATACTTCTACCTTGACAAACAGATCAGACGAAAATCATTTTGGTAATTTTAATGCTTTCGTATTTCCGATATTACATTTTATTTGAATTTTTAACTAAAATACCTTTATGACACTTGGGACAAGAATATTGGTCGTATAGGCTGACACTTCGATTCTATTCTAGTACATTTTCAGAAAGAAAGCATGAGCGCTTATAGAGATCTTCTCGTCTTGCAAATGTATGTTACTGATAGCGATGCAGTAGTATCTATTGAAAATATGACAAGATTATACTTTGAAGCTATCTACTCAATTTCATTCCAATTTTTTCTTATGAAATAATCGTGATGCGCATCTAGTTTATTGCTTGTATATATCTTTTAACTTTCCGAATATCTTTAAGAATTGTAGTGAAATACAATTTTCTTTCAGGCATTTTAATCGTACTCAACTTGATACTAGTTCACTTTTAAAGGCTTATGCTGCTTTAATTTATCTGTGTTCAACATAACATACCTTCCAATTTTCAGGATTTATGTATTGCTTGCTTGGTATGTACTGTACATTACTGTTACCCATTATCATATAGTACCTCAAAAATACTAATATAAATGTATTAAAAACTAACGGGTAAAGAAATTTTATCTAGTGTGCGTTCATAAAATCAATAACATAAAATTAAATATATCACAGCACATGGTAAGCAATCATTTTATACGCTCTTTTTCTTAACTTTACATTATATTAATTCGTGTTATATAGATACTCAATTAACAGATTACATCTTTCTACTTTGATTCTATGACAAATTTTGATCAATAACGTGATTTGTAATGAAAGAGTTATAGTCTTTTACTATTACTATACAGTATCCGATGACATTATTTACTGCTTGTATTCCTACTCTTAAAATTCATTTTACTGAAGTTATTTTATCTAATCGTTATATCGAGTATTTAGAGAAGAAATTTTGATGGAATTTTTTCGATAGCTTGTAATAGACAGCTAGGTCGATCAATTTTGTTATAGCTTTTTGTCTTGACAGAATTGATATCATTATCTTTTTATCTTTTTTAGATCGTTTATGTAACGTTAACTGCCATCAATGCTGACGGTTCGTTAAAGTATTAATCAATAGATGATATAAATAGTATAGATTTTAGATTGAAGGTAAAGTAACCAATGGATTAAATTTCCAATAATAGTGATGTGTATATCAGTGATTAGTTTATTTTCTTGACGTAATGAGATCATTGATGATTGTATAAATTGATCAATTTACTCAAAATTGAAAGGATGATTATTAGCGAAACTATTCGATAATGCTTATTAAAACGATTAACGAAAATATAACTATGAACGATGCTAAATGCTGTACTGTAGGGAAGATGCCTATCAAATACAGATTCTTCCTATTTTCGATCTTGACTATGATCCTGATACTGATGTCAGCATCATCTTTATAGTATGTTATCCATTACCTAATGCTTGACCTTGAGCACAGTAATATTGAAAAGAAACATAATTACTGCATAGTATCGTCCTAGATGACGTATTAGAGATGATATACTGTCGTAGATACGATGATATTTAAAAATGGGTTGAAATTAGTTACAATACAGACTAAGAAACAATTATATTTTTGATAGCTATGATATGATTGCAGTTTTAAAAGATTAGCTTGCTACAGTTGAAAAGGGGATGTACTAAAATTACAGCTGCTTTACCTAAATATCGAATTTGGAGTTGCATAGACTGTAGTTAAATATCGAAAAAAGTTATTTATTAGTGATACATACCAGTATGTTACAATACTGAAAATCATGCACAGTATTCCAAAATTAAATGGTAGGAGAGTACCTAAAGCATAGTTGATCTTTATTAATTAACAAAATGTCAAGTATGACAAACTGTTAAGAAACTATAAATTTTGGCTAATGACAAACTCTTAACTGGATAGAGGAATCGATAAGTATTATTTCAAGCGCTTTGGGGCCATGAAATCCTTCGGTGGTGCTCTAGCTGCTTGCCAGGCATTTCCTAGTATCGATTTGACAATTGATAATAGCTCTGAAATTCATGATGGCCTAGATGATATACTAATACTCTAGACTTGTCACTGGATTGGGTTAAAAGATACTATGGATAACAACCAGCTAGGTAATTATCATTGGTTGGCGAACGCTCAAGACGTTATAGCTAGTTCACAATTTTGGTTGTAGACCTATCCATTATATTCAGCTTTTGGATGTTTTCACATTACAAAACTTGCTGATCTTGTGCACTGGTAGGATAATGACTGTGAAACTTTTTATGCAAGCACTTCTTAAAGACAATTAATTTTTGTCAAGTTTCTTACTCTTATCCGACCACAGTTAGCACAGGTTCAGCAAGCTGTAGTTTTTCTACTAACCAATTAATTTCCTCGTCTGTGATATCTATGCTAACTAGTAATAATGTTATTTCGGCAACAGCTGCTTCTAGTCAAT